CTGATGTTTCTCTCTCCCTGCCTCTCTTCTAAAAATCAATAAAAATATTTAAAGAGAAAATAGAAGAATATACATGGCATAAAGCACAAGCAGGCAACTCAGTTAGTTTGAATGTACCACCCAGAGGGGGTCCAAGGGGTTTTATACTCTTCCCCTTATAGGTTTCAAAGCTCCTCTGCCAGATTATCTTGGGTGGCAGACTAGGTTTCAAAGTCCTCTTCTACATTGTTGTGGCTTATCTTGGAATGTTTGTACATATATCTGGTCATTTTGTTTGGCAAGTCCTAAGATGGCTGACTTCTTTGTATAGTGGGTGACATCAACTTCCCTTTTTCTCCCCTCCCCTTCCTCCTGCCCTAGCAGCTATCTTTCCTAACATCTCCCAAGTGAAACTATCCAAATACTTTTGGGGTTTTGTCCCCCAGACTTTATCTGTCTTTGGGTTTAGCTGGCACAAATGGCATTAGTTGGATCTTGGCTCTCTATTTTACCAGGCCAGGGTGATTTAAGCAATGTATTATCTGGTTAGGGAGGAGGGGTATAAACCATTTGCTCTCAAGTGTCTTGGCTGGGGAAGATAAGGTCTTGCAATTTACAAGCTGGCTGCAAGCTGCTCAAATTGTTTGGCCTTGTTTAATTTTCTTGTCTCAGTTTCCCCATTCCACTTGCCCAGGAATTTTCCTAGCTTCTTACTATCCTGCCACATAAACCATTGCCAAATACAAGTGGATTTGACACCAACTCTTCCATGCAGGCATTAGAACCCAGCATGGCTTTTCTGAGCTAACATTAAAATAACCAAGACTATTTATTTTGCTTGGTCTTTTCTAGGGACATAGGTTCCATTCCAGTGGCGCATGAGATGAAATAGGTGATATCAACCAGCAGTCCCTTGCTAACTCATGCCAAACTGGTCCTCCAGTCAAGGCAAGCAGGTCAAGGCCACACTGGATTCTTTGGTTGCAAGCTCAGAAATTACCTTTGCTACTTTAAACAAGATGGAATTTACTGGATGTTCACAGTCTCATAGCAAGAAAAAGACAAGAGCAAAATAAATGAATTCTTACTGATCTCTCCCTTCGTTCCTCTGCTCAAGACACAAATTCTTGGTGAGAAGCATATAATTGGCCCAAATTAGTCATGAGCCTACTGCTTGGCTAAGGAAGAGAGTTCCCCCAAATTACAGTCCCACTGTATCATATTGCCTGGGGAAGAGATAATGCCACAAAAAAGCTGGGAGCTGTTCAAGATGGCCAGAAAACTAATATCCAACCACAGTAACCTCTAACAAAACCATCTTTGTAACAGGTAGCATTTCACAAAGAAATATGAGCAGGACATACATTCTATTCAATAATCGATAATACTGGCTCCTCAGTTAAAAACAAAAGGGCACTTTTCTGAGATACATCCTTCCAGGTACCATTTAACAATATCAAATTGTGAATGGTGATAAAGTTTGGCTGATATGTTGACTCTTGCATTTATGCCCAGAGAGTGTCCTTTAGGGAAATAGTCCTTCTAGATCTGATTATTTCTGGGCATAGTCCAGCCAAGTCTCACTGATGCTAGCATGCGCTGCTCCTGAAATGGCACAGCTGGCTGCCGAGAGTACAGAATACAGCATTCAGGTGATCAGAGATGAAACAACTAGGCAGCCAACAACATGCTTCTTGACAAGAGAAACACGAGGTTCCTATTGCAGAACTGGCCCTACTGGAATTGAGGAAAGAGCTTATTGCTGTAGGCATGCTGGAATCTACAGCCAGCAGGAACATCATTGTGTGTGTGGGAGGAAGCTTCTTCTCTGGTTTGATAAGAGTTGGCTTGAATGGCTAAGAGCCCAGCAGGAAGGCCAGGTCCACTAGTGTACTGAATTTTGTCATCAGATTCCACTTAAGCACAAGTCCTGCCAGGATCTGTTCCCAAAATTAATCAATACAAAGGAACAACTGCATCTGACCTGGTCACTCATTTGACCTGGACCCCTCTGAAATTTTGTCCACAGGATGCTAGTGTTGCTAGAGTGGAATAGTGAATTCTTTTGTCCAATAAGGTAAGTTCTAAAAAGGAGAAAACAGTGTGGGGAGCAGATTACAGCCAGGGAAAATGAGACACATTTCCTGAACACAGAACAGACACCATCTTCCTTCCATTCCCACAGCTGCCAAAGAGCTCTAGCTCACAAATCTGAATGGATCTTGCCTGCTCAAAGCTCTTTATTGGCTCCTTTACATTCATGACATAAAATCCAAAATCTCGATGGAGACGAGAAGATGGCGGCATAGGTAAACACCGGAGTTTGCTGCCTCGAACAACCACTTCAAAAATACAACTAAAAGTCGGAACGGACATCAACCAGAACCACGGGAAGGCTGGCTGAGGAGAGTCTCTTCAACTAGAAGCAAAAACAACAGCATTCCGACGCTCAGAGGAGGCGCAGTGTGGAAAATTTAAAGGTACGGCGGTGCGGTGGTGAGGGTGCGCGCGCAAAGCGGGCTGGCGGCTGAGGGCGCGATTGTCGTTTTCAATCAGGAGTGAGTCTCAGACTCTGGGCTACAGATCCGGGCGAGTCTCTAGGGACCCAGACTCAAACGGGAGAAGCGGGACTGTCTGGCTACGGCCCCTCCGAGGTTTGCAGCGGTTACGGGGACAGAGAGGCAGAGCCCCTGGGGACAGACTGAGAGCGGCCATAGCTGCTCCCTCCCCCCGCCCTGTTGAGCCCGCCCCGCCCAAACCCTGCGCACGGCCATTTGCCGATCGCCTCAGGCAAAGGCTGGACTAGCGCCTCCCCAGAAGACAGACGTTTTCCACAGCTGATTCCTACAGCCAGTCGGCCTGGTGGTCAAATCCCTCTAGTGTTAACTACAACAATTAAGGCTTGGCTAGAACAAGACTGCGCACAGAGACCACAAGGGGGTGCACCAAGAAAGCATATAAGATGCGGAGACAAAAAAACATGACAGAAATGGAGGATATGGAGCTAAGAATCGCAATTTTGAGGGCTTGCCATAAATTTGTGCAGAGCCTCACGAAAACTAATGAGACCCTCGATGCTACGATAAAGAAATTAGAAAGTAAGCATACACGGACTGAAATAAAGAATATTATACCCAAGAGCAGACCAGAGGAGCACAAGAATCAAACCAAAGATTCGACAAAAAACACCCAATTGGAAAAACAAAATGAAAAAAGAATCCGAAAGTGTGAAGATAGTGTAAGGAGCCTCTGGGACAGCTTTAAGCGGTCTAATATCAGAATTATTGGAGTGCCAGAAGATGAGAGACAGCAAGATATTGAAAACCTATTTCAAGAAATAATGGCAGAAAACTTCCCCCACCTGGAGAAAGAAATGGACTTACAGGTCCAAGAAGCGCAGAGAACCCCAAACAAAAGGAATCCAAAGAGGACCACACCAAGACACATCATCATTAAAATGCCAAGAGCAAAAGACAAAGAGAAAATCTTAAAAGCAGCAAGAGAAAGAGGCTCAATTACCTACAAGGAAATACCCATACGACTGTCAGCTGATTTCTCAACAGAAACTTTGCAGGCCAGAAGGGAATGGCAAGAAATATTCAAAGTGTTGAATACCAAGAACCTACAACCAAGATTACTTTATCCAGCAAAGCTATCATTCAGAATTGAAGGTCAGATAAAGAGCTTCACAGATAAGGAAAAACTAAAGGAGTTCATCACCACCAAACCAGTATTATATGAAATGCTGAAAGGTATCCTTTAAGAAGAGGAAGAAGAAGAAAAAGGTAAAGATACAAATTATGAACAACAAATATGCATCTATCAACAAATGAATCTAAGAATCAAGTGAATAAATAACCTGATGTACAGAATGAACTGGTGATTATAATGAATCAGGGACATAGAAAGGGAATGGACTGACTATTCTTGGGGGAAAAGGGGTGTGGGAGATGCGGGAAGTGACTGGACAAAAATCATGCACCTATGGATGAACTCAGTGGGTGGGGAGTGAGGGTGGAGGGTGGGGTGGGAGCTGGAAGGAGGGGAGTTATGGGGGGAAAAAAGAGGAACAAATGTAATAATCTGAACAATAAAGATTTAAAAAAAAAAATAAAATAAAATTTATACAGGAAAAAAAAAAAAATCCAAAATCTCTGCATAACACAATCAGGCCCATCTCTCTCTCTTCCTCCTCTACAGCCCTCCAATCCTACCTTATGCTTCAGCCGTGCTGAACAGACTTCAGGTCCCACAGCAAGTCCTGCCCTGCAGGGGTGCAACTGTGCACCCTCCTGCCTCTGTGAGGAACGCCTAACCTCCTTGTCTGCAGAGCACATTTCTGTCCCTCCTCTGAGCCTCAGCCCAGCTCTGACCTCCTCAGTGAAACATCCCCCTACTCTTCCAGCCCCCGAGGCTCTAAGGGCCTTTCTGTTTCCATAACCTAAGCTCTGGCATTCTGATTTATGTAGAAGGGTGGAGCTAAGGCTTTGAAGGGCAGTGAGTACATCCCTTCCATAACCTACATTACAGAGGCCTAGCAAAAGGCTTATCTTCTGGAAGATGCTCAAATGTTTGTTGAAGTAGTGAATGAACACCACTTGCATTTTATCTCTGGTAATGTCTAAACAGAAGAAAATCACATTTGTCTTCTCAGAAGAGGGAAGATATTCAAATACTAAGAACTGCAGTTCCTGGTAAGACCTTTTAGAAAATGACGTCAGCAACAGTAGCAACTAGAAACTCAGCGGAATGCTTAAGGTATAAAACCAGAATGAAATGGGCCAAGACTTGAACAGTCATGGTTTAGGTAGACTGGGGCACAGGGGAGAGGGGACGGATGGGGGGGGGGGGCAGTTGGGAGAGTTTCAAGACTGTCTAAGGTTTAAGAATCACAAGTTCTTGGCTTTTCAACCATAAAAGCAATCTTGCTGAATGATACATTCACATGGGTACCTGGGGAAAGCTAGATCTGTACACCTGTTCATAAAAAGGCCCTTAAAAAAAAAAAAAAGAATCACAAGTTCTTTTTTAAGAATCACATATATTTACATTGTAGGTCTGGGATACACTTTTTACAGGAGTTAAGCTGTTTCCAGCTGGAGTGGCTTTGGAAAGTCCACTCTAAAATGAAGTCACCTATTGTCGTCATTGTCCTCCTCCCCAACCTTTGTTCTGAAACCAAGCACCTCCCTGTGACACCCAAAGGAGGCTGCTCTCTTTAGTTTTCCATGCGACTCCCAAGTTGGTCCAAGCTGTGGGGGTCACTCTTCAGCTCAGGGGTGGACAGATGCTCCAGCTCATAGTGCCCATTGTCAAAGGCCTTATGTGTGGGTTTCTCTTTCATGCCCTCCTTCTGGCTCCTCTTGTGCTCAATAATCTGCTGGAGCTGGTGCCCAGCATACTCTGGCTTGGTGGTCAGTGGGCCCCCAGCTGGCACAGCCACACCAAGAATATCTGACACCATGTACGGGCGTAGCCAGCCCACCAGAGGAGTGCTTCCAGGGCTATAGTGGGTCTGCTTGTGGTAGAAGAGAAGTCCATCCACCTATAAGAAAAGAGACCAGGGATCAAAATGACTTCTGAGGCCACATGTTTTTAGGAGAGCCTAGACACACGGGGCAGCTCTAGTGGTTTAATCCTTTTCTGAGTCACTGCCAGAGGAAAGAGTTCTCATTTCTCACACATGCAATTTCTCTAAATGAAGAAATGGCCTAGAAAACTAAATTTTAGAAAATAAAAAAAACATAAATAGCACATTCCTGTTTATAGTGTGCTTCCCTACCCACTACTTCACCCTTTTACCCACCATGAGGGTATTTTTGAGATGGGGCTGGCTCGAAGTTCTGGGGGCTTCTGTAATAACACAGTTAGTATGAAGTAGAAATTCAACTTGAACCCAAGTCCTCTCCCCAAATCCCATGCACTCCCACCACCCAGAGATCTCATAGTGGGTTATGTGTTCTGCACATGGAACAAAGCAGGGGAACTGGATAGGCCCATATGAGATGCTGGACTGCTGAGCACAGAGGAAACCTGTGTGGTCAGTGGTTGAGCAGTGACCTATAAACCAGGAGGTCATGGTTCAATTCCTGGTCAGGGCACATGCCCGGTGTGGGCTTGATCCCCAGTTGGGGACGTGCAGGAGGCAGCCGATCAATGATTCTCTCTCACCCATTGATGTTTCTATCTCAGACTCCTTTTCCTTCCTCTGAAATCAATAAAAATACATTATTAAGAACAAAAAGAAGCCATGCTCCCCAAGCCATTGTTGGCTGCCTAACTCTTTCCCCTAAATTGTTGCAAGCTATGTTCTAGGAAACTCGGTTTTTCTTAATGGTAAGATTTCCTACAGTCCCAAATTTTCTTTTCTGGGAGTCAGCAACTCATCTCTAAAAAGCATTTACTGGATCAACCAAAGGACTTGTATGCATGCATATAAGCCTAACCAATGGACACAGACACCAGGGTGGTGAGAGCAGGAGTGGGGGGGACGGCATTGGGGGAATAAGGACATATATGTAATACCTTAATCAATAAAGAAAAAAAAAGCATTTACTGTAACTTTATTTATAGTATAAGGGCTATAAGTAAAAATAAAGATGGCAGTCACCCTGGTTAGTGTTGCACAGTAGTTAGAGCATCAGCCCTAACACTGAAGGGTCTCGGGTTTGATTCACGTACCTGGGTTGTGAGTTCACTCCTCAGGGCGAGTGCGGTAGGCAACCAGTCCATGTGTTAGTGTCACATCAATGTTTCTCTCTCTCTCTCTCCCCTCCCCCTTCCCCTCCCTCCCTTCCTCTTTCTCTTAAAAGCAATGGAAAAAATATCCTCAGGTGAGGATTAACAAAAATAGATAAATAAAAATAAAGATGGTGTTCTTACTACCTTCTTAATTGACTCCCAGAAATGAAGGCAACCGCCGGAAGCTGTGACCCCTTCTCCAAAATATATCCAGTTCAAGCAAAGACTTGTAGGTGACTAGGCAGAATTTTAAAGGGTATGTTGGGCAAAGGAAAGTTTGCTTATTGAGACTGGAGAGGATAACTGCAGGTTCTAAGGATGACAGAAGACTGCTCAAGACTGAAGAGCTGCTGACAATGGGAGATTTTCAACACTAAGACTGGGAAAGTCCTGGACACAAACTGGGATGAGTTCGTCACCTGCCCCATGCCACTGCTCAGCAATCACTGACATACTCAGGGATCATTTGCTCTTCCTAGGAAAGAAGAATTAGAAGTTTACATTCCTGTGGTCCATCAGTCAAAGAAGCCCCTTTACTTTACAACCAGCCATGGCAGTCACACAAAGGGCCTGGTTCTCAAGCTTACAGCAAGAAGGGGCAAACAAAGAACAATCTAGGAATGAAAGCCTCACCCTGATCTGGGCCTCAATTTCTCTATCTGTAAATTGAGAGCGTTAGATGCGATGTCCTTTCAGGGCCTTCTAGCTCTGGCATTCTGATTTATGTAGAAGGGTGGAGCTGAGGCTCTGAAGGGCAGTGAGTACATCCCTTCTTAGATATCAGCTTTCAAGCCCTTTTCTTTTTCTTAAAGAGATTTTAGAGAGAAGAAAGGGGGGAGGGGCTAGAAAGAATCATCAATAGGTTGTCTCCCACATGCACTCTGACAAGGAATCGAATCCGAAATTTTTTGGTGTCCAAGATGACATTCCAAGCAACCTTCTGAGCCACACCAGTAAGGGCTCAGCCCTTTTCTGATGCTTTAACATAGCAAAGTCAAAAGATATCTTAAGACTGTGTAACCAAGTTTTCCAGTGTCCTGAAACCACATCAGAACAATAAAGACAATGACTTTGTTACCTCAAAAGGGAAATCCATCGACAGCACCTTACACAGGCTCTCAGGGGTACAAGGAAAATTCTTTAGCCCCACAAATTTAAACTAAAATATAAATTAGAACAAAGAATTAGTACATATTACAAATAATACTATTCTAGCAACTGAAAAGCTATATCAAAGAAGTTTTTTGTCTCTTCCTTCCCAGCTACCTCCCCTCCACCTACATGCTGAATTACTAGGTCAGTGGTTCTCAACTTTGCTTTATACAGGAGAATCATTTGGGGAACTCTTAAAAATTACTGATGCCCAGGCCCCACCCTGAGATTCTGACTGAAATGGTCTGGAAGAAGCCCAGACAGTGATTTTAACATATAGTCAGGATTGAGAACCAGGGTCCTACACTAGGTTTAGGGATTATATGTTATTCTTCCAGCCCTCTGACAATTGCCCCTAATGAAGGAGTAGTTGAACTTCTTTCACACCAGCAAGGATTTTATTTATTTATTTATTTATTTATTTATTTATTTATTTATTATTACCAGTATTTCTTTTAGCAGCAAGGATTTTTAGACTAAAGCAGTATAACTAGTGCTTTGACTCCCAGCTCTGCCAATCATTTTATCTCTATATGATTTCATTTTCCCATCTATAAAATGGGATAAAAATATCAACTTCATAGGGTTGTTGTGTGGATTCAATGAGATAATACATGTAAGAGCACTAGAACTGCTCCCATGCTCCCCCTTTTCTTAATACACATTTTTCCAGGATGTTATTGATAACATCACTGGAAGTACTGACCCCATTTATTGTCCTGTAACTGTTATCTAATTGCCTTTAAAAATGTTGTAACAAAAAAACAACAACAAAAACAAAAAAGAAAGAAAGAAAAGAAGAGCTGGCTGGCGTGGCTCAGTGGTTGAGCATTGACCTATGAACCAGGAGGTCACGGTTCAATTCCCAGTTAGGGCATATGCCCGGGTTGTGGGCTCAATCCCCAGTGTGGGGCGTGCAGGAGGCAGCCGATCAATGATTCTCTCTCATCACTGATGTTTCTATCTCTCTCCTCCCTCTCCCTTCCTCTCTGAAATCAATAAAAATATATTGAGAAAAAGAATGTAGGCAGTCCGGCCATTGTAGCTCAGTGGTTGAGCATCAGCCTATGAACCAGGAAATGGTGATTCAATTCCTGGTCAAGCAAGGCACATGCCCAGGTTTCGGGCTTGATACCCAGTGAGGGGCATGCAGGAGACGGCCAATCAATGATTCTCTCTCATCATTGATGTTTCTATCTCTATCTCCCTCTCCCCTCCCCTCTCTGAAATCAATAAAAACATACCAGTATTCTTAAAAAATGTTGTAAATAATCCAGGCAAATACCAATCTACAGGGCTTATTAAATGTCCTCAAAATAGCAGTCATATATTTAATCACTGAGCAGATAACACACACACTTGAATTACCATCTGTACTGTGGGACCTTGGGGAAGGCAGTCCCCTCTCTGAGTCTATATTCTCATCTGTAAAATGAGGGAACTGACTAGATGAAGTTACTCTCAGCTCAGATATAAGAGCAGAGGTTATCAAAATGTGGTTCATGGACCAGCGATATTAGCATCACTGGGGAACTTCAGCATTTCACACCAACCACTATTTATTGAGAGCCTACCATAAGTACTATGCTAGGAGGACATACATATTTTTCTCATTTAGTTCTTAGAACCACCCTGTAAAATAGATATTATTAATCCTATTATACAGATGAAGAAACTAAGGCCAAGTGATGTTTTTAGCTTAGCCTAATAATTATTAAAGCCAAAACTGGAATTCAGATCTGGATGACTGTTAAGCCTATAATCTTCCTATTATGCTGTACTATCTCAAAATTAAAGAATTTCATTCATAATGGTTGTATGTAGATAATAGATCATTCCAAACCAATCCACATAAAGAACTCTGCAACCCTAATCCCAGGCCTTACAGGATTGAGCTTGGTGTTCTCTCCCAGTCCTTCTTCTTCTGGTAACTTTGAATGCATCCAGTAGAATCGGAAATCAGTCTGCCACAAAAAAAAGACAAAGATAAAATACAGCTCATCTCAAACTCTAATAGGAGCAAAAAGCCACATTCTAAATAGCCACCTGATTTATGAAGACCTAAGCCCTTCTATCGTTACCCTCATTTCCTTAAAACACTGCCATCAGATCAGGAAGATATTTATAAAATCTTTGAAGATTTTTTCTTTCATTTTTTTTCTTTAGATTTGCCAATGTGTCAAAAATAACCTTTATTACTTTTGTAACAGCCTCTATGTTCTCACACTTTCTTGCCAGAAGCCTTTGTAGCAGGTGCTTTCAGGGCTGGAGCTTTCAGACCCTTGTGCTTTTCAAGGTGCTGCCTTCTGGCCTACAGCTTTCTAGGCAGACACTCTCTGGACTGGAGCCGTCTTGCCTGTAGCGATCACTTTTATTTTTTAAAGAATAGTTTATTGATTTTTAGAGAGAGAGAGGGTTTATTGATTTTTAGAGAGAGGAAGGGAAAGAAACATTGATGTGAGAGCACAACATCAATTGGTTGCCTCCTGCATGCCCTCCTCCACCAGGGATGGAGCCCAAAACCCGGGCATGTGCACTGACTGGGAATAGAACTGGCGACCTTTCTGGGCATGTGATGACACCCAACCAACTGAGCCACATCGGCCAGGGCCAGTGGCCACCATTTTTGCTGGAACCTTTGCAGAAGCAGTTGTAGCTCCACCTTTAACAGCAGGTGCTTTTTGGGGAGCTTTCAGGAGAGCTGTCCCCCCCCTTTTTTGGCTAATCCTCACTAGAGGATAGTTTCTCCATTGATTTTTAGAGAGGGTAAGGAAGGTGGGGGAGGGAGAAGGAGAGAAACATCTATGTGAAAAAGACACATCCATTGGTTGCCTCCCACATGTGCCCCAACTGGAGCAGGGATCGAACCTGCAACCCAGGTATATGCCTTTGACCAGGAATCAACCCGTGACCCTTTGGTTCATGGGCTGCCACTCTAACCATGATCCACACTGGCCAGGACAGAACTGCCTTTTAAAGGTTTCTAACTTCAAACTTGATTATTTAGTTCCTCATTTTCTTTACCTTCATGACTCGGCAATGATTAAACCTGTCATCTTGGCTTGCTTTTCTCTGGCTTCAATCTTCTTGGCCCATCTTGTGGCTGCCAGGCTTGTTAAGCAAACTTCTGGCGGGCACTATGTGAGAACTTGAGGATGAAGACAGTAAGCTGCATGCATTTGAAAGTCATGGCCTGTCTCCTTACTTGAATGGAAGTTCCATTAACCAAAGCCCTGTTCTGATGGATAATATCTATAAACTCGAGCAGCTTCGTGGCAAGAGGCCCAAAGGAAAGGTAGGCCACCCAGGCAACCTCCATGAAGCATCTGAACACCATGTTGATTGGGTTGTGTGAGAAGTAAGAAGGCATGAAGATTTTTTTTAAAAAATCCAGTAGTATTATTAATGGCAGTAGACCAAATATTTATTATGGAAGACCTACTATTGTCCAGCTCCAAGCTGAGAACTGTACAAACATAATCTTATTAATCCAAAACCACCCTGTGAGAGTTGTATTATCATTATCTCTATTCTACAGGTGAAAGGGCGGAGGCTCAGAGACATTACGTCACTTGCCTAGTTGCACACAAAAAATACTAAGAGACCAGGGCTCTACAACTCCAAATCACATTAGGTTGACCTTTGTTTTATTTTAATCCTGAGGACTAGAAACTACTACTACATAGCTGTAATTTCTCATAAACTACTTGATTCTCTGAATCAGTGATATAAACCTTACTGTACTTATGTCATTTTCTTTCCTTACATTATTTAGCTTTCAGAAACCAAAAACATAGTCTTTTCTTTATATTATAAAAACATAGGTGGTTTTGCCTAGCCAGTGGGGCTCAGTGGTTGAGCATCGACCCATGAACCAAGAGTACAAGGTTCGATTTCCCATCAGGGCACATGCCGGGTTGCGGGTTGGGTCCCCAGTAGTGGGTATACAGTTGGCAGATGATCAATGATTTTCTCTCATCATTGATGTTTCCTGGATTTTTTTAAAATATATTTTTATTGATTTCAGAGAGGAAGGGAAAAGGAGAGATAGAAACATCAATGATGAGAGAGAATCATTGATTGGCTGCCTCCTGCATGCCCCCTACTGGGGATTGAGCATACAACCTGGGCATATGTCCTTGATGGGTATCGAACCTGGGACCCTTGAGTCCGCAGGCCAACGCTCTATCCACTGAGCCAAACCGGCTAGGGCTCATCATTGATATTTCTATCTCTCTCTCCCTCTCCTTTCTTCTCTGAAATCAATGCAAATAGTTGGAGGGTAAAAGATTAAGTTTAAAACAAAAAATAGGTGGTTTTAGTTACCAAATTCATATATTGTAAATGCATGTTAGAAAATACCCTTCAACAGAATTACAGGAAAATATGTTTGGACTGATTTAAGACTACTGAGTTTTAGGTTTGGCTCTGCACCTGGGCAAGGTACGTAACAGTGGCTCTCAAATTCCCTATCAAAAGGATTAGAAATAAGAGTACTTACCTTTTAGAGATGTTGTAAGGAATTCAATGACATAATGCTCAAGATTGCTTAGTAATGCATGTCCTGGAGAATATTCTTAGAATGAGGAGCATGTTAGAGTTTCAAAGTACCACCACTGAGCAGATGAGGAAACCTAGCTTTGAGGAATGACATGAAAGAAATAGCCTACCCAGCTCGTGTGACTCAGTGGCTGAGCATCAACCCATGCACCAGGAGGCCCCAGTTCAATTCCTGGTCAGGGCACATGCCCAGGTTTCTGGCTCGATCCCCAGCAGGGGGTGTGCAAGAGACAGCCAATCAATGTTGATGATGTTTCTCTTTCTCTCCCTCTCCCGTTCTCTCTCTAAAAAACAAAAAAGAAATAGCCTATGGTGATAACCCATGATTGTCACACTTGGCCTGCATGAGGAGCACCTGCAGGCTGATTAAAATATAATCCACCCCAATAGTTTCTCATTCAGTAGGTCTGAGAACTTTCATTTATTTTTATTTTTTCAATTACAGTTGAAATCCCCTATTATTTTATATTGGTTCTGGCATATAGCATAAGGTTTAGACGTTTATACAATTTATAATGTCTTAGTACCCACCTGACACCACACGTAATTACAAAATTATTGACTAATTCCCTATAAAATTATTGGCTGTACTTTACATCCCCATGACTATTTTGTAACTGCCAATTTGTATTCTTAATCCTTTCACATTCTTAAACCAGCCCCCCAAACCTCCTCCCATCTAGCAACCATCAGTTTGTTCTTTATATCTATTTCTGTACTCCTTGGTCATTTATTTTGATCTTTAGATTCCACATGTAAATGAAACCATAGATTATTTGCCTTTCCCAGTCTGACTTATTTCATTTCTAAGTCCATCCATGTTGTCACAAATGGTAAGATTTCATTCTTTTTCATGGCTAATATGCCCTTGTACATGATTCACCTTATTTATCCAATCATCTACTGATGGGCAGTTGGGTTGCTTAATATCTTGCTGTTGGAAATAGGGGTGCATATATCTTTTAGAATTAGTGTTTTGGATTTCTACCAATAAATAAAGACAGAATTGCTGGTTAATAAAGTAGTTCTAGTTTTAATTTTCTGAGGAACCTCCATACTGTTTTCCGAAGTGGCTGCATCAATTTGCAATACAACCAACAGTCCACAAGGATTCCCTTTTCTCCATATCCTCCCCAACTCTTGGTGTTTGCTGACTTTTTGAGGATAGTCATTCTGACAAGTATGAGATAATATCTCATTGTGGTTTTAATTTGCATTTCTCTGATGATTAGTGACATAGAGAATCTTTTCATCTTTCTATTGGTCATCTGTATGACCTCTTTGAATAAATGTCCATTTAGGTCCTTTGCCCATTTTTTAATTGGGTAGTTTGATTTTTGGTGTTAAGTTATGAGTTCTTTATAAATTTTGGATATTAACTCCTTATCAGATATATTATTGGCAAATATAGTCTCCCATTCAGTAGGCTGTCTTTTCCTTTTGTTGATTGTTTCCTTTACTGTGTAAAAATTTTTTAGTTTGCCCAGACGGTGTGCTCAGTGTTTGAGCAAGATGTTATGGTTCAATTCCTGGTCAGGGCACATGCCCGGGTTGCAGGCTCGATCCCCAGTTGGGGGTGTACAGGACACAGCCGATCAATGATGTTCCTCTCTCATTGATGTTTCTATTGCTCTCCTTTCCCCAACCTCTAAAAATCAATTAAAAATAAAACATTAAAAAAAAAAACTTTTATGATTCTGAGTCTTACATTTAAGTCTTTAAACCATATACAAGAATAAAATCAAAATGGATTAAGAAGGTGGTCTAGTTTCACTTTTTGCACATATCTGTCCAGTTTTCCCAACACCATTTATTGAATACACTATCTCAGTTGTTGGCAAACTGCAGCTCGAGAGCCACATGCAGCTCTTTGGCCCCTTGAGTGTGGCTCTTCCTAAGCCTTAGGAGTACCCTAATTAAGTTAATAACAATGTACCTACCTATATAGTTTAAGTTTAAAAAATTTGGCTCTCAAAAGAAATTTCTATCGTTGTACTGTTGATATTTGGCTCTGTTGACTAATGAGTTTGCCGACCACTGCACTATCTTTACCCTAATTGATATTCTTGCCTCCTTTATCATAGATTAATTGACCATAGAGTTTAGGTTTACTTCTGGGCTTTCTACTCTGTTCCACTGAACTATGAATCTGCTTTTATGCCAGTACCATGTTATTTTGATTACTATAACCTTGTAATATAGTTTAATATCAGGTAGCATGATATGTCCAACTTTGTTATTTCCTTCTCAAGATGGCTTTGGCTTTTAGTGCCTTTTTGGGTTCCATATAAATTTAGAATTATTTCTTCTATTTCTGTAAAAAATGTCATTGTTATTTTGATAAGGACTGCAAAGAATCTCGAGTGCTCTGCACAGTATAGACATTTTAGTGATGTTAATTCTT